ATTAAAAAATTGAAATTAAACTATAATTATTTAAAACTTCATTACATTAATTTAACATGTGAATTATGCAAATATAAAACAATAAAGTTGATAAGAAATTCCATAACACAAAATTTGTTTTAGTTTATAATAAGAATATAATGTTATAGTATATTGGAAATCAATTAAATTTAAAAAATACACAAAAATATTGTTTAATAACTAAAAAATATAATGTTATAATAATAAGAATATAAACGTTTTATACTAAAAAATATAATGTTATAATAATAAGAATATAATGTTTAATGGTAATTGAGGCCCTCAAACTTTTGAGAAAAATAATTAGTGTAGTCCATGAACGCTTTTTATACTAAAAAATTAATCTAACCCTTTAAAGAGTGGAATCAACATTGACTGTCACTACGCTTACATGAAAGTTCATAAACGTACATGACAATCTATAATATTTATGTGACAATTTACAATATTATTGAGGCAGTATACGATTGACGATGATGTGGTAGATATGCTTAATTGAATGTTTGGCTAAATTTTATGGCATAATTGATTTTTTAGAAAGTTCCAGGATTTATTTAATTTTTTTAAAAAAAGATTATTTAACTTAAAAATATAAAATATAAATATATTAAATATAAAAAACTAAAAAAACTAATTTACTAAAAAATTCAATTTAAAAACTATATCGAGTGTAAAAAATTCAGGGACCATATTATTTTTTTTCAAAAGTTTGAGAGTTTTAGATACCATTAAATCAAAAAAATTATTGTTAAAACAAATTAAAAACGTGTAAGTTAAGTTAAAAATCTAGATCTCGTGTTTTTTTATTTTTTTTCAAATTTTAAAAAAAATTAATTATAATATTGAAAACATCTTTCATATATTTTCATATTTTACTCATTTTTATTTTCATTTTCTATAAATCATTTTCAATTTTACAAACAAACATGTTTTTAATTTTTTTTATATTTTCTTAAAAATGAAAATTAAAATAACATATATTTTCTAAAACCAAATCAACCTTAAAGTTTTTATTTGTTTTTACTTTGTTACTTATGTAGAAGGTAAACTCAATATATTTTCTAAAACCAAATCAACCTTAAAGTTTCTATTTGTTTTTACTTTGTTACTTATGTAGAAGGTAAACTCAAAGAATGATAAAATTTTAAAAATTTATGCGGGAATTTAACGATGCAAATTTTTTTTACTAGTTTAGGATGAATACAATGATGGTTGAAAAAATTTCAATTATTTGATAATGAATACACATATACTCTTGCAGATATCGTGTACGAACTCAAAATTTCTAGGAATATTAATAATCTTTTAGTTACTGAGATTGTTTGATTCGTGCAATTATGTATTTATTTTTTATTATTTTGATTAATTTGGGGTAAATATAAGATATTATATGTTCAAAGAATACTGTTAACTATTTGACATTAAACACTTACACTCCTAATATTTATGGTACTCGAATCCAAAACCTTAAAAAATAACAATAATTTCTTTACCACCGATATTGTTTAGTACAATACAAATTATGTATTTACTGAATAATAATATATTAAAAAAATATCCATTTAACAAACTAATATCAACCCAACTCATACGGAGCCGGAGGTTATATCATTAATTAATTCATAAGGTACAAAAGTAGTATTATGTTGCATTACACTTTTCGATGCACATATATAACATGTAATTATTATTAGGGTAAACTACGTATTTACTGCCTAAATTATTAGTTTTATTTTGTTTTAGCACCTAAACTTTTGTTTGTTTTAAAACTATACCTAACATTTATTTTTTGTTCCATTTTAATAACCCGTCGTTAAACACATGAAACTGTTGCACCTGATATTTTTATGAGTGAATTGCATCATTCATCAATTAACTATATTCTTACTCATATTTTGGTCACTAAAATTTAAAATTTTTCAATTTAACTACTCAACTTTCAAATTGCACATATTTTAATCACTCTAATTTATTTTATTAATAATTTTGTAGACGTGACATTTTTATTATTATTTATTAATATATAATTAAAATAAAAAAATAAATTTAAATGTTAGAGTGATTAAATTAGAAATAATTTGAAAGTTAAGTAATTAAATTAAAAAATAAATTTCAATTACCAAATAAGAGTGAGAATGTAGTTGAGTGACTAATAATGTAATTTACCTATAAAAAATGTCATGTTGTAAATTTACGCTAGATTTTTAACCACGAGATACCAAAACAGAAAAAAATAAACGTTAGGTATAATTTTAAAATAAATGAAAGTTTAGGTATTAAAAAATGAAACAAAAGTGATTGTTTACTTTTTCTTTCGAAAAGTTAGCTACCATGCTGGTAAGTCAGCAAAGGGTCGCCGAGTAACGGGCAGGATTTTGGCTTCTCTCGATTTTCTAAATATTTTTTAAATACTGAATTTATTTAAAGAAAATGGCAAATTTTTAGCCCTCTAGCTTTGAAATAATAATAATAATAATTGTAGTTAATTTTATTAAATAAAAAGAAAGGATATATATACATATAAACTTATAATTTTGAGAAAGAATAAAAAAAATTAGCCATTAAATATTGAACAGAGAGTTGCATAAAAAGAAAATTTAAAAAGTTCAATCTTAAATTTTATTTCAATATTTTTGTGTCATCTTCTTCTTTTTCTTTGATTTTTGTTTAACTTGTGCAATTTTAATATTAATATTGATTGTTGATAGTCGGTGATTTTAATTTTTCTTATTTTTTCATATTATGTCTATTGTTTTTCTTTTTTTCTTGAGTTTTTTTTCTATTTTAAATAAAAATATTTGTCATTGTGGCACGTTTTTGTCTGCTCTTGTGACACTTTTTTATGCTCTTGTGGCACGTTCTTTATGGTTTTTGGTACATTTTTTACATACTTCTATGATTGTGTTGTACTCGCTCAAATTTATTTTATGATTGGTTTGTCGTTACATATTATCACATCCACTCTTAGGTAAAAGGTTGTTTGCCGATATAATAAAAATTATATAACAAAGCAGTCTGTCAAATTGTTTGGTCTGCTTACCACTTCTTTATCACTTCGTAAAGTGTCTCATTCAACAAAGACAAATAGTTTTATGAATGTTACTGAGTTCTTTTGATGTTGAACGTCATTCTTAATGGAATGATTCGTTTTTCTTCCCATCTTTGAATTTAATATTTTGTTTTATATATGAGATTTTTTGTGTCGCTATTGACCCCATTTTTTTCTTGTGTGAGTTACAATTTTGATTCATTATCAATGAAATCAGTTATCATTGTTAAAAAAGATTCAATCAAACAGCTTATACAAATATAAAGTTGAAAATAAACATCACCATTGACTGCTATAATTAATTGACAAGATCATATGGATGAACATTATTTATAAGCATGTGAGTGTCAGTTATAACTATTTATAACCATGACACCCACACACACAAAATGTCATTATGTAAGTTTCCATACACAACTGATAGGGGATCTGAACCCTCCTTTCCTAGACTCCACCAAGTATAATCTTTACTTGTCCAAAAGAAAAAGTATAATCTTCTTCAGCTCATCACTTAACATCTCCACTCTTCATAGAGCCATCGACTGTGCTTCCCCGTCAAATCAAAATAGATGAATTATCTACCGTCGTCATAATCTTCTTGTTCTTGTCAACATATCACAGCACGTTTTGGTCCTATATTTTGATAGTAGATCGGTTCTTGAAGGAATTTGTTCCGTTTCACATTAGATTGTTGGACAGTTTTCGGTTTCTTGGATTGGGTTTTTGGATCTTCACTGAGCAGGTAGCTTGCTAAAAGTGGGATTTGTCATATCGTCTTTTGTGGGAAAATTTTCAACTGGTTTCTATAACTATTTATAATCGGTTTTATCTTCTTTCTAAAGCTTCCATTAACTATTTCTGGTTAGATTCCTTTTCCCAATGACTATCCCATTAAATGTGTAAATATGAAAAATCAAATATATTCCTTTTCCAGACCAGATTCCTGTGCAGAACAAACAACCAAGAGATCGGTCCAAGATTGAATAAGATGTTTTAGATGGGTCACAGAATTAACGGTTTAAGAGGCTTTTTGTTTTAGATTTAATATAATTTTTAAATTGAGAAGAAAAAAATTCATTGCACGAAAGCGCTCTTTATTTCCCCGCATGATAAAAGCGTAAAGGGCAGAGCAATAAAGCGGAATATGGTTTGAAATTTCTTTGGTCCAACTCTTCTGTTCAGCTTCAAAGCTGACTTTCTTTTCTTAAGCTTAATCATTCGTGTTAGACAAATAATATAGTTTGAATAGTAACCTATTTTTATGTTAATTCATAAATCTGAATTTTCTTTGATTAGTAATCTATTTTATTAAAAGTATTCATTCTAAAATTTTATTTGTGTATATGTCCCCAAAGTATTTTTAGATATATCATTGCTACAAATACAAATATTCAAAATCAAAATATATAAATAATATTTTTTTTGTTATTAATATAGTCCAACAAGTTTGTGCGAGACAAATAAGGTGAAGGGAAAAAGGGGCAATTTTACAAGGTAGAATTGGTCAGAATTTGTAGTTTGGACTTCCCTTTTCAACTCTTTAAAACCATCGCATGACCAAAGACTGCTCACTGGTCTCTGCTGAAAAACTCGTTTTCGTTCAGTCAAACTTTCTACATTCCAACAACCCTTTTTTCTCACTTTATAACCCCCAGTTTTCAATTTCATCTTCAGAATATCAAACCCTTTAAAATTTCCCACTCTTTCCTTGGGTAGAGGTAAAGCAACGAGAAGTTCCGACGGTTCAATTTTTGGGTTACATATCAAACTCTCATTCAGGCCAACTTTCATGGTTGTTGCTGCATGCTCTTCTCCAGTCGGGTTATTCCAGTCCCTTTGGCTGCTCCTGCTTGTGTTCCTTGGGGGAAAGCTTTTGCTTCTTGATAACCAAATCCCTCCCCATTTCCTTCAGCACATCTTTCTGTGAGGGAAAAAAATGGAGCATGGATGGAACTGGGAGCAGGGGACACTGGTGGGTGAGCTGATTCAAGGACTGGAGTTAGCGAAACAGCTAAGGTTGCAGTTGGATACATCATCTTCTGCTCAATCCACACACTTGTTAGTACAGAAGATTTTATCTTCCTATGAGAAAGCTCTTCAGATTTTGAAATTCAATGTGGGTGCGAGTGCAACATCTGGTGTGCCGGAGTCACCACTATCCATCAATGGCAGCCCTCGAAGTGATGATTTAGATAAGGATAACCAGGATTCCAGAGATGTCTCAAAGAAGAGGTGAATTTTGGAAGGCTACAAGATCTACTTCTTGTGTATGTTATTGCTTATTTATGAAGTTCATTGATGCTAAAGATTGGGTTTTGCAGAAAGATGTTGCCGAGATGGACGGATCAGGTGAGAGTTACTTCTGAAAGCCTGTTGGAAGGAACTCATGATGATGGCCATAGTTGGAGAAAATATGGGCAGAAAGACATCCTGGGAGCCAAATATCCTAGGTTACTAGTCTTTTTCCTTAACAATATGACCTAATCATTGCCTAAACACCATATTGATTAGTAAAGAAATCCTGTTTTATTCTTCTGCAGAAGCTATTACCGATGCACGTACCGGCACAGTCAGGATTGTTGGGCAACAAAGCAAGTCCAGAGATCAGACGAAGACCCCACCATCTTTGAGGTCACTTACAGGGGCGCTCATACATGTGCACATGGAAACCAGATGGTTCCACCACCTGCATCACCAAACAAACAAGAACATAAATCCACCAACCTTAATAACAATAACCAACAATTGCAATCGCTCTTAAGCCTTCGAAACGGCCTACGGGTCGATACGGAGGGATTGGACAATAAAGAGATGGCATTGGCACCTTCTTTCTCATTCCCTTCAACACCATTCGAGTTGCTAAAGAGTGAAAACCATAGCTTTTCACCTTCAGGAGTACTTGATAACAACAATATCTTAAGTAGCTTTTCTTCGCCTTTTATGTCCCCTGCTACATCTGAGTTAAACTACTTTTCGGCTTCGCAATCTCAGACGAACAACTTCGGAGTGATTCTCGATACACGGAATTTCGAATCCGATCTCAAGGGATTGATTTCAGCCAACACTTCAGCCACCAACTCTCCAATTATGGACTTGGATTTCTCACTCGATCAAGTGGAGTTGGATCCAAACTTCCAATTTGATGCCCGGGGTTTTTCTCCTAATTCTTTTTTACGATCGAAATAAAGAGTAAAAGGTAGATGTAGAACTCGGGTTCCACTGACCGGATTAGCTGGTTGCATCTGTTCACTCTAGCTTTGTTTTTCCCTAGGAGCTTCTGTACAATACATAAGTCTCTTCCAATTTACTGTTGATTGCAAGACATTTCTTCTGATAACGAGTTTTGACATTTGTTCTAATCACAGTTGCAATAATCGTACATTAAAGGTAATGTTGGCTTTATAGAAACTTTCCGTTGAAACACATATATAATGTACTGTGCTTTAACAGTTACTGCAACTTATCAGACGGTATACATAAACAAATAAAACCAAGTAGTTCCTGTAAGAAATTTAAACATGGACATTCAGAAATATTATAATTGATTTTTTTTATTATTATTGTTGTTTTATCAAGTCGTTTTGTTAGTTTTGTTCTATAAGTATTAGATGTCAATTTAAATATAGTGTGAAATATATTTAATATATATAATTTAACTTTGAAGTTGAACATGTACCACATAAACCATTTAAATCTAACACGTTAAATATGTACTCTCTCATTCAAATTTAACATGACTTTTATAATAAAACATAATGTCAAAATTAGTCAAAAAAATTAATCTCCAACATTTACTAAAATGATCATTTTATCTTATATTTTATTTTTTGAATATTTTGACCCATAACGTTTCATTTTAAGGCAAAAAAAACTTCTAACATTTGACAGAATAATCAAAATCTCTTTTTTTTTCTTGAGACATTTTAACCTTCAACATTTCATTTTAGGTTAAAAAACTCTTATTTTAGAGCATTAATAATATGTTAACAAATAGTTTTCATCTATAGAGAACTTTTTGTCCCAAAATAAAATATTGGAGGCTAAAATGTTAAAAAAAAGGAACCAAAATGATCGTTTTGGTAAACATTGGAAGCTATTTTTAGCATTATACCTTTCGACAAACCATATCTAATTTGTTAGTACAGTGGATGTACAAATTTAAAATTTGATGTTCATACTTTTAACATATTTTGTTTTATATTTAAGCTATCATTTAATATCGAAATTAATGACTGCATTAACAAAAGAATTTAATAAAATTGATATTGCAAAACCAAACCCACCACGATCCATTTTGATAAGTCTCATCATATGGGTAGCAACTCTCACCCAGGCTCTATGAATTAAAAAGATGGTGTTAGATAATACAGCAGCAGCGGCAAAAAAAAAAACCTTTAGTTTTGACACCATTACTTAAGAATATGGTGGTGTTTGAAGAAATGCACAATTTGGGTAACAAAAGAGAAGAGAGCAAGGATTAAATAATACGGTTATAAAAGGGGGGTGGGGTGTTAAGAAGTGGGTTCAAATGTTGCTTGTTCATGCCAAGTGCCGTTCAAGTTAGATTGCCACAACCTTACTCGTCCATCTCCCCCGGTGGTAGCCAGGGTCATTCCACTCATATCCCATTCCATCTGCCACACCTGATCATCACAGAGCATTATAATAATCCAACTCACCCTTTCCATGAAAAGGAAAGGAATCTACCTAAATTAAAATAGGATAGCAGAGCATTGTTCGATCCGTACTGATAACCTTGTCCTCTGGATCTTAGGTGCATTTTCATGTCATGAATAGCCATGTTATTATAACTTCCTTCTAAAAAAGGATGGAAGAACTCAGAACCATGAGAAACAGCAAGAAACTTAGAGAATTCTGGTGAGATAGTTTCGTATGTTCTGCTAGAAATTTAAAATTTACGTTGAAGGTTAGATAAATTTGTGGATTTTAGATGAAATATCTCACCATCTGATAGAAAAAACTGCATCTATCATGTTGGAAGTCAAACTAGAGTAGATAGATAACTATATAAATCATACATAGATTAACCGAAAACATTATAGAGAGCCTAAAAAGGATAATGTTTTAACTATTGAATACCTCACTGTTATGTCCAGAAAGCAATGCAGCCCTCTCCATGGAGAGCCTTCCATCTAAGTCAGTGGTTGATCCAACATGCCATATAGAAATTCCTTTTTGAGATGCAGAAGCTATTATCTCATATGGCCTACGTTGCCAAAAAGAAAACAACGGTAATCAGTTTCAACAGACAATCAGAATGTTTTGGATACTATCTCAATTCCCAGTTGAACTCCGATGGAAACCAGGAGCTTGTGGACTTTATATAAAAACATCTACATTCCTACTAATAACCAATGGCTCATTAAAAAAACCAGAATTTCACAGAGAAAAATAATTTCCATTACCGTCCAATGTTTGGAGCCCATGCGACAGAATAATCTTGATCTCCCTTGTCACCAGGCAAAGCCAACTCTGCTACTGGCAACCATCTCTGATGAGCGGGATCAAATTCCCACACCTATAAACCCTAGAATGAATCTAAATTAGCAATTTTAACAACACATCCACAGATTTATGTCAGCTCAAGAATAATGCCACCACACAAATTCTTAACATCAAAGCATTAAGTTATAGGCTACCAGATCCGCATAGCTTTTCAATAACTCAGGAGTCTGGAACTTGATAAATTAAACCAAATAAAGATAGTACATGGTATACTAGAGAGACATTGCAAGTGTGTGAACTAAATCGACTATCCTGGTCCCATCTTATTACAGCAGGATTTACCTGTGCGGAAAACAGATTTAGTAATACCTTGGGGGAATTAAGCTGTGGTGTGTTAGAATTGAAACCTAAAACAAAGCTTGATTCTTGGCCCTCACCGTTTAGTGGATTCCAAGAAATACATGATGTTAAGCATGAAGCTTTCCCTATTACAGAAACAGAATCTATAACATTCTGAAATTCAGCCTGGAAAATAAAACATAAGACGGTTAAAATAAAATCATAAAGTGGATGAGTGAATGTACAGACAGTATGAGTGTGTAATAAACCCTTCAAAACTGGCAACTGGGAATAGCTGGAATATCTAGAACATAGGGGGGCATCTAGAATCATTCACCTGAAGTTGCCAGTTCTTTAGTTCAAAAGGATCGAGGAGCTCAAAGACTTTAACGAAGCCGTCCGAGTAAGCAGCAACCTATGAAATACACAGGACAAGCTATGAAATGCCTAATCAAAGCACAATAAACTATATTTGCCAACTCAACGAACAGAGGAAATCAATTTTAAAGCTCACCATTTTCAAACTCGTTTGACCGACACTAAATTGAACATCTAGAACCTTGGAGCTAGTTTTAAAGCTCCTGCATAGCTTCCATTCAAGAGGTTTGGTACCTAACAGAATTACAATATCAATCGGCATTTTCGAAATATTATAGCCAAATATAATCATTTAAAAGTCAGGGAAAAAAAGATACCTTCTACAAGCTCTTCCCATATTGATAAAGTCCCATCTTCTGAAATGCAAGCAACAGCATCCCCGTACTCTGGCGGGATCCAAGCAACCTTCAGAATGCCAACTTCATGCACCTGAATCAAGGAAATAAAACTAAAAAAATTAGACACAAAAATCAATAATTAATAATTAGATTAAATAAATACAAAAGAAAAAAATGTATTCTTTTGGTTTGGGAGACATTGAATTTGGACGAGGAAGTGAATGAAGAAGACGAAGGGTCACGGGAATCTGAAATTGAGAGATAACCATCGACGGAGCCGGAGGCTAATCTCTGGCCGCAATATTTCCAGGCCGAGCAGGTCGTGCCTCTGTCGAGTGTCGCCACTGGTTTCTCCATGTCCGTACAATTTGATACAAGTTCAGTCTGCTTCAAAACCCTAAACTCCGCGGTAGGGAGGGTTTGAAAAGTGCCAAGCCTGCCCAGAATTCTGGATTTAAATATGAACTGTGGATTGAGTGAGGTATTGGGCTTGAACCCTTACTATAAGAAAAGTACTTATTAGAAAACTAATTAAAAGCCCACTAGTTAGCTACATATGCGCTTAACCTAATTGCTACACTAGTCTAGTTACTACTCAAGTTCATCTGAACAATAAAAGAGGAAGTTCGTTAATAAATATAAAGTAAAGATAAAGAGGGAGGGAATGGTTGAGAAATCTCCAGCTAATAAATATTATAAACTAATTTCAGTCTAAGTATTAGTTTGTGGGTTATAAACCATCTTTTACATCTATCTCCAATTACTAATCTATTAACATACAACTTCTCAATTACTTTGCAATATTCACCACTCTTGAGTACCAATTTGAATTTGATTTGGGTTCCTTCATCCTCAAAGTTTCAAACTCATCTTATAATACTTGGAGCCGAATCTTCTTTATTTTGTCAACTCCTTGAAGAGAATTTTACAAAATGTTCCATATTTCCTTTGTGGGGTTAGCATTTCTCACTTTTACAAACATTGATTCATCTAATATTGATGGATTATGGTGATGGCTTGTTGATCATTCTTCCTTATTTTAGTCAAAGCCTTATTTTCTTGTTGTGACAATGATATCTCGTCCTAAGGAGACTCGTAATCCATTTGAGTGATCTTTCAAACATTCTGTGAGCCAAGAACAACCTTCGTATGGAGACATCAATTTTCATAATTTTGTTTTGTAAGACGATGAAATTGAAATGAAAACATATCATTGTTGGTCGTCTTTTTTTTTATTATCGAACATGACTCTGATAGACTGATACCACTTTATTAGAGAGGGATGGAAGAGAAATAAAAATCTTTATGAGGAGAAGAGAATATATTAAAACAATATTAAAAAATCACTCATTCGCTTCATCGTTTAAGTGACTATTAGAATAATCATATCTTTTTATAAGAATAACTACAACTATTTACATGAATAATCACGTCATTTTAAAAGTATTTTTAGAATATTTAAATTATAATATCTTTTTTTTGGTTTTTGGTTGGTTAATTGTTGATGAGTTTTTGTTGATGTAAGGTGAAATTGTGCAATAAAATTAGAATTTACATCTGTATTCCGTTTAAGAATTTGATTGTTATTTGATTCATTTGGAGTTTTCGTTCAACAAACTTCTCCTTTCTTTTAATAATATAATTTATTCTATTAATTTTTATTTATGGGTTACTTGGAATAATGGGTTGTTGAAATGGAGTTAGGAAGGTTATTTGAAGTAGGGGTGATGGGTAGAGATGATTGATTGGGATAAATGAATGTCCAAATATGTTGCCCTTGTGGTTGGAAAAGTAAATAAGAAATGAAATTAGAGGGACTTTTTGAATTGAAGAAGAAATAGAAGGATTATTGATAGGGATGAGTATGATGGGTCGGATTTTAATTTATCTGAATCAAACTCGAAAATTATGATAGGATGATCGGATCAGAAGTATAGTAGCAGATGTGATATGCCAAACAGATTCAGCTGATGATCAAAGAGAAAACATTCATCGTACGAAAAAAACTAAAAATATGATCAAAATGTGCACAAACTATTTGACCACATCGTCGTTATTCATATATGCAATATATATATATCCAGCACATGAACGGTGGAGGCAGCAGTGAATCTTTCTGATGCACATCTCTTGATAACCAACGAGTTGATTTCCAGCGAAAACCCTCCAAAATCTATCTCGGGGATCGTCGTCAGTGCACATGTCTTGTCGTAAATTACATAGTACTCCTCGAGCGATCTTTGTTTCAGCCACAACCGAAAGACTCGGACTTTTTCTGAACTTGAACATGAATTTGAAGAGTTTAAGGATGGAACGAGAGAATTTGGAAGGATGCTTCTTGGAAACAGATGGAGGAAGGGTATCAGGCGTGGACATGGTTCTTTAATGGAAAGCTGAGTCGAGTTGACGTTTGAAAATTTGAGTTCCAACGAGTCATACGGGTGCTACCGTTGAACCGAGTTAAACGAAGGCTTTTTATATATGGGGAGATGTGAGATAATAATTACCATAAAAATCCAAAACGGAAAAGAAAAGAGAGCGTTACAGGGATCACGGTCTCTTCATTTGGACCATTCAATTTGGGAGGCTTTTTTTTAATTATTGAAAAAAACTAATTAAGTAACTTTACGAGGAGAAATAAATCAGGAAAATTGTATAGATGGTAGATACTCGATTTGTCCGAGGTTGAGTCAGAATAAACCCAAAGCAACGATGGGTTTAAAGAAGAACCCAAACCAACTGGAGATCCGATCCAATGATCCAGTAGAGCAGGCCACGTGAAGATTCCCTGTAAAATAAAAATGGTTATGGGAAGTTAAGAAACGGAAAATGGGGAGGCATACAGGAGAAGGAGGAAACTGTTTTGAGATAAAAAAAAATTAACTACTGGAAACTATCAAGGAGGGGGACACGCAGGAAAAAGGGTTTTTTTTAAAAGAGAAAGGAACGGTACCTGTAAAAGTTCTATTTCCCATATTCAGAGACCAGAGGGTGAAAACACCATTTTTTTTCCTTGCATTCTAGGCACAAGCAGAGAGTTTGGAAAGCAACAATAGCAATCCATAAACAGGTTTTCTTCTTCTTTATTTCATTAACATCATTTATTTCCTTTTTACTTTTGAAATGTTCATTCATGTATGGGTTTTGTAATCTTTCTTTCGAAGTATATAATAAAAGAGAAAGAGGAATTAGTAACTCACCTTATTTGTGCGACAGTAGTCTCGGTGGGGTTCGACTGATAGAAATAGGGATTGGGGTTAGAGTTACCAAACCAACCTGAGATTTAAACATAAAATAGTAAAATTAAAATAGGAAGAGGTTGGTTTTTATAATTTACTTTACAGTGTGTCGGGATTGTTGTATGCGGTCGGAATTTGGAGTTTCACGGTGGCGTTCATGGGGAGAGAGGGACAGAATCGAAGTCTAGTTTAAACGCCACTTCCTTTCACTCTCTCTATTCCTTCTTTCTATTGTCTCCTCTTCAACTAAAAAAAAAAAACCAAACTTTACAGTGTCTCTCAAACACTAAACAAAACCAAAGACTAAACTGAAAAAAATCACCATGGATCTTTACGATACGACCAACGTTTTGTTCAGTAAAATCAAGAACCACGAAATTGAACCCGATCTCAAGACCCAATAGATCCAACTCCAACAATTCACATAACCCATTCCTTCCATCGTCTTCTGGTTTCATTCCACGAAATGGGTTCTTCGAATTTCCATATGTAAGACGCCTTCTTGGTCTCCTGCTAGTAGCCCAAAGTCGAGTCTTTTTTTTTCTCTTATGAAAATATCCGCTCTGGGTCTCTCTTATTTCCTTCGAGGACCTAGGATAGCAACACTGCTTCCATCGATGAGAACCAAATGAGTGATTATTTTTCTTTCTTGGACGATTCTTCATCTTCTAAGAACGAGACTTTGTTGGTCATAGGAGGAGTTTTTCTGCAAGTGATGTGTGTTTTGGGACAGTCGAAGAACCCGTTGGATTTGGTGGTCTTGTGGGTGGTTACAAACCTTGTCTTTATTTTGTCAGAGGGTTATGTAAGAATGGTGATAACAGATTTGAATGGGAGCTCTCGACCATGGAAGCAATGAAGAATGTGAAGAAGAGATAGAATGGAGAAGAGAGAACGGTCGTGAGGTTCAAAATGAGTTTAGCTTAGGTTATCTTAGTTTAGGTTTTATATCAAGGCTTTTGGGTTAATTAATTTTCAGCCATTGAATTTTTAAAGTAATATGCTTTCGTGCCCTTGTTCTTTAGCCGCATATTTATACATTAGTCACCTTTAGGACTGCTTTCAAAATTAACCTTTTGTGTTTGTCCTAATTTAGTTATTTTCCAGTTTTTAGTTTTAGTTATAATTTTGTTAGATTATTTGGGTGTAGATCCTCATTTATGCGTATGTTTCATTTAGATCCATACTTTAGTTTTAATTTGTATGTTGAATTTTACATTTATTTAAATTTAGTCCCAATTCTAATATGTATATATCGTTTTTTTAATTTGTAGTTTGGCATGTTATGTATTTATTCTTGTATTTAAGTCACATTTGTACATTATATGTTAGTATGCATGGTTTATGATCTTTAATTAAAATATATGTAATTTCTTGTATGTCACATTGTATGATATTTTTTAATTTTATTTAATTAATTTTTGGCATGACATACTTTTCGCATAATTTGCATGATAGCCTCACGTGCATAACTTGACCTATTACATAATTTGGATTAAGGGTAATATACTTTTAATTTAAAATTTTAAGTGGGCAGTCATAACTGATTTAAGGTCCGCTTTTAATGATTTTAAAATAAAAGTGTATCCTGAAAGTGAAACAAAAAAATTGATTCGTCACCTAAAATTTGGGAACGAAAGAAAAGGAAATGTTCGTTTATTTAAATTTATCGAAAAGGTTGTTATAATTTTTAAGATCTGGTCTTGATATTTGTAAATAATCGAACATTCTTTATCTTTCTAAAATGACTTGGTAACTTTAATTTAATTTATTTGAGTGCTTTTGAATGTTTTTAAATTTACATCTTTGTTCTATGGGATCAAAAATCAAATTAAATTCGAATTTGTAAAGTTCGTTGCAAAGACATTAATTAATCGACTAGGTACCGTTTTAGGGCGTTGTGAGGGTGCTAATCCTTCCATGCACGTAACTGACTCCCGAACTCAGATTTTGGTAACGCAGACATTAATTTGTTGTTTTAATTAAAATTAATTTTTATTTAAAATAACAAACATTTTTGGGTGCATAATCACACCCTAATCAAATATTGGTGGCGACTCTTCAAACCGTATTTTTTGATCGTAAAAGGAAATCCAATATTTTTTGAAACGAGTGGTATTTTAAATCACATTTGTTTTTAAATTAAAAAGAGATAATTAAAAATTAATGTGGTTCTCAAATCTCACCTTTTAAGGAAAAATCGTTTCGACATAGATTATGAACGAACTTTGGTTTTTCACCGATTAAATATTCTCCATAATAGTCTTGGTTGTAAAAGATACCAGCAAAAGCAATCTTCCTTAAACTGCACCTCTGCTAGTGTCAGTTTAAACGTCAGAGGTTTCATTTTCTAAACACAAAATCCCTTTCTGTGGTGGAACATTGCTTCCTTTGATCTCAGCCCTACGCAACGCCTTATTGACAATCATTGTACGTTTCAGCCAGGCCAAAAGGGCTTAAACTAGGGGATTGCTTCAGACTTGTTTAGTGGTTTTTGTTCATATGATTTAATCAACCACATCACTGCTAAAGAGCTTAAAACTGGTAGCATCAAGAACCAACTTCCTGATAGAGGAGAAAGCTCCCATGATCCCAACACCGGTGAAGACGACTATGATTAGCAGATTGATCCAGTAGGTGAGGGACAATTTCGAGCGCTTGTAGGTCATGTTGTAGAGAAGCATAGGGAGGATGAAATCTAGAGGGATGAAGCCAATGACACCTATTACACCATTGATGTCACCGAAGAAAGGAAGCATTGCTGCCATAAACCCACAGAATACGATGTACAGGGTCCGAAGAATTAGCCTGGGGATAAGATTCCTCGTTGAAAACATCCCTAGGTTTACATCAACTGATTGCTTTTCCATGATCTCATACGCAACTTGAGAGTAAACCTGTGTTACATGTATTGGAGAAATGTTAATTGAAAACAGAATTCAGATCATGCAAATCTCTCCATTTTAACAATGTCATACAAGGCCAATGGCGAATAGCTGCAAAAGAACAAAGATAACTGCAGGGCCAATGACTATTGTTGGGGCCAAGGTTGGTCCATCATCAGGCATTAGACTCTTGAGAATGTTTGAAATTTGTTTCCAAAAGCCTAGTATCCAGAAGCTGTGTAGAAAGTAACCAAAATTACACTATAACACATTAGGAGTTGTTGAATAATCAGGTAAAGAAAACGGAAAGAACACAAGAATTTTAACGAGGTTCAGCAATGTGCTTACATCCTTGGTACCTTAGGCGGCGCTAGAGTTTTTATTCAATTCAATTCAATGTCTCATAGGTTTAGGTTACATCTCCTTTTATAATAAATAAACTGTTGAAAACATTTTGATGTTTCGATATAACAAATTAAATTAAAAGAATTTTAATTTTGAAAAAGATTTTTCTAAGCATATTCGATATATTAAATCGAATATCAAAATATTACTCAAAGTATTTCAAAGTTCATTTTAAATCCTTACTCAAGTGTACAATTAAGTTTTAAATCTTAAAATAATTTCAAAACGATTTTACAAAATATTTCGAACCATTTCAAAGCGAAAAATTCCAGATTGCTCAGAGGGAACCGATTCCCCCCAAGGGGGTACCGATTCCCCCCAGGGGTACCGATTCCCCCCACTGTTCAACGATCGAAATATTTGAATTTTACACTTAGGGAACCAATTCCCCATTAGGGGTACCGATTCCCCCCACGCTCCAAGCAGAAATATTAATTGTTTTCACACTTAAACGGTTCCAAAAACTTCATTAATGATCTCCAACGTTCAGAAGTGATTCAAGGTGTATTTAAGCAAGCTTAGAAGCCATTGATCAATAACAAGAAACATCAAGCAACTAGAATCAAGAGAGAATCAAAGAGAAAGCATCAAACCTCAAGTTTGAGCATTTCAAGCCTATCTTTCATTCAATATTCATTTTGCTTTCAAGAACACTTATTGTGCTCAATTGTATTCATTCTTGAGTGTTCTTTTCTTTGTTCTAGAATTATGCAAACAATCTACCTTGTGAGGATTTCATTGTAAGTTTGCAAATTTGTATTGTTCTCTTTGGGAGAGAGTGTTCTCAAGAATTTGGGATATAATTCTTGAGGGTTTGTAAGGTTACTATTTGTCCTCAAAAGAAAGACAAATTAGTGAATTTGTGGAAAATCCTTAGTGTGGATAGCTAAGGTAGTGGACGTAGACTTTGGTTGAGAAAGTTGAACCACTCTAAATCGCTGTGCAAATTTCTTTTAATTTTCTGCAAAAGCTTCCACCAAAATTTTAATTGCCAATTCACCCCCCTCTTGGCCATATTCGTCGATCGATTAACTCAACAATTGGCATCAGAGCCTAACTCATTTGAAGGTTTAATCACCTCTTGAGTCGATTCGGGAAGAGTTACATCGATAATCAAAGTCATCAATGGCCTCTACTTCAAACTTCGACTCCGGTCTCGATTCGATGCCCGTCAACAAGCCTCCTTTCTTCACTAGGGCTAACTATGCCTATTGGAAAAATAGGATGATGTACTTCATTCAAGCAAGTGACATGAGAGCATGGAATGTCGTAGAAGAAGGATACATCAAGCCTCTCACTCATCCAAGATTGTGGAGTGAATGAGAGACAAAAATGTTCCAGCTCAACTCCAAAGCCATCCATATCATATTTTGTGCTCTTGGACCAGATGAATACGGAAGAGTTTCATCTTGTACAACCGCCAAAGAAATATGGGACAAACTTCAAGTCACTCATGAAGGTACCGATGATGTAAAGAAATCTAAAATTAGTAATCTAACGCATAACTACGAAAATTTCAGGATGAAACCAAATGAAGATATCAAAGCTATGACGGATAGATTTTCAACGATTGTCAATGGTCTCAAATCATATGGAGAGATAATTTCAAATGAAAAGCTTGTGAGGAAGTTAGTATACTCCATTCTAAAATCGTGGCTATCAAAGAAGACGACAATCATCGAGTCTAAGGACCTAACGTCCTTAATTCTTGAAGAGCTAATCGATTCACTCCTCACTCATGAAATGATGCTTGAAGATGAGGTGGACCTTGATAAGATTGAAGAGACACCAAAGGAGAAGGAGAAGAAGAAAAACATTGGAGTTGCTCTCAAATCCACAAAAGATGAGAGTGATTCGAATGAAGATGACGATGATGAGGAAATGACATTGTTTGCCAAACGGTTTAGAAAAATGATGAGACCTTACCGAAGGAGAAAATTCAAATGAAATGAAGGCCTCAAAAATGAACCAAAAGAGAAAGACCCGATCATTTGCTATGAATGCAAAAAGTCGGGGCATGTCAAATATTATTGCCCACAATTGAAGAGAAAGGGTCAATCAAAGAATAAGCACAAGGATCTTGTGGCTACATGGAGCGATGAAGAAGGTTCCGATGAAGAGGAACAAGAAGTAGCAAACTTGTGCTTGATGGCATTCGGGGAAGATTCTAAGGTAACCTCTAACTCATCTGATTTTGATGATATATCATATGATGAGCTATTAGAGGAATATAATGGGTTGGCTTCGGATTATGAGAAATTGTTTTTAAAATATAAAAATGATGTTTCAAAATTGAAAAATAAAAATAAACTCATATCCAAAACCAACAACGATCTTGAAAGTAAAATCAAAGATTTACAAATCAAACTAGAAGAGTTTGAAAAGAAAATTTTGGATTTGCAAAATTTACTTTCAAAGGTCAATGATGATCATCAAAAGAAAATTGATGATCTTAAAGCTTCTTTTGATAAAGTTGGAACAAATTTGAAAATGGAGAAAATTCAAAATCCAACTTTGTTAGAAAAAGTTTTAAAAACTACAATCATAGAGGTCCCCAAAGAACCTCTAATGGAAAAATCGTTAGAAGTATAAGGGTTCCTAAAGAGCTCA